ACAGACTGGGATACATAACTTGTAGACACCACTCCTCGTTGAATATCTCTTGCACCCTACCTACATCGACAACTTTGTCCGCCGCCCTCGCCCCCGTCCCTAGTATGAACTCAGTTACCAACAATTTCAAAACATGCATGTTCCGAGTTCAAAACCAACCTTCACCGACACTAGTATGAACTCGGCCCCTAACACTTCCAAAACATGCCTGTACTAACTTTGAAACCACCCTCGGTGAAAACTTCACCGACCCTACTATGGACTCTACACCTAGCGATTCCAAAACATGCAAGTTCCGAGTTCAAAACCAACCTTCACCGACACTAGTATGAACTCAGTTACCAACAATTTCAAAACAGGCATGTTCCGAGTTCAAAACCAACCTTCACCGACACTAGTATGAACTCGGCCCCTAACACTTCCAAAACATGCCTGTACTAACTTTGAAACCACCCTCGGTGAAAACTTCACCGACCCTACTATGGACTCTACACCTAACGATTCCAAAACATGCAAGTTCCGAGGTCAAAACCAACCTTCACCGACACTAGTATGAACTCGGCTACCAACAATTCCAAAACATGCATGTTCCGAGTTCAAAACCAACCTTCACCGACACTAGTATGAACTCGGCTACCAACAATTCCCAAACATGCATGTACCATCGTTCCAACCTGCCTCAGTGCTAACAAAATTCCCCGACCCTAGTATGAACTCGACTGCCATCAATTCCTAAACATCCATGTACCAACTTTGTAACCTGCTTCGGTGAAAACTTCACCGACCTTAGTTTAACTCTCCCTAACATTTCCAATGATGCGTGTACGAACTTTGTAACCTGCCTCGGTGAAAACACCCCCGTCCCTAGTATGAACTCGGTTACCAACAATTTCAAAACATGCATGTTCCGAGTTCAAAACCAAGCTTCACCGACACTAGTATGAACTCGGCTACCAACAATTCCTAAACATGCATGTACCAACTTTGCAACCTGCCTCGGTGTTAACAAAAACTCCTCTGACCCTAGTATGGACTCTACACCTACCGATTCCAAAACATGCATGTTCCGAGTTCAAAACCAACCTTCACCGACACTAGTATGAACTCGGCTACCAACAATTCCTAAACATGTCTGTCCCAACTTTGTAACCTGCCTCGGTGAAAACTTCACCGACCCTAGTATGGTCTCTCTACCTATCAATTCTAAAACATGGATGTACCAACTTCGAAACAGCCCTCTGTGTTAACAAAATTCCCCCGACCCTACTATAGACTCGACCCCTAACAATTCCAAAACATGCATGGTCTAGCTTCCAACCTGCCTCGGTGAAAACGTCACCGAGTCGTGTATAAAATCTGTCCCAACCAACTCCAAACCTTCCCTGGGCACCCGAATAAAAATAACTCACCCAGCCCCTTAATCAATAAAAATTATTGATTTGTACTTTAGAGTGATTAGATTGAATGATATGTATGCTAACGTCATATCATATTTAGTTTTTACGTCATTATTTTGGTGAACTTTAAATGTAGACATTTTAAACGGTGTGTCATTTGACACGACGTACTATAACGTTGTTGTTTTTTAAAACTTGAAGTTTATAATCTTAAGCAAATTTACCACCACCTTACCACCACCTTACCACCACCTTACCACCTTACCACCACCTTAAGCAAATTTACCACCACCTTACCACCACCTTACCACCACCTTACCACCTTACCACCACCTAAGGTGATCAAAATTAAGATGACAATGTAAGATATAGAAAAAGAAAATACATTGAGTGGTAAAAATAAAAAAAATTGTCATTAGCCGTAATGTATTATGTATAAGTTAACTTTCTTAAAAATTAAAGAAGTTCAAGTCAAAAAGAAGATTGATGAAAACTGTAATACTAAAGCGAACATGGGAAGGTAATCTGCTGCAAGACTAAGATATATATTTTGTTAACCCTTGTCTTCCTAAATTATTTTTTAACTTTTTAAAGAAATTGACTGTTTAGTTAAGGATTCTGACGCGAATTTTTTCACAAGGGACGATACTCGTGTCTGTAGACAAGGCTGTTCTAATTTTAGAACAGTTGTCTTTCCTCTCGTTTCTCTATTAGGGAAGCCGTAAGGGGAAGACACGCGACACGTCTTTTAAAATGTAAACAAGCGTGCACGGGGTGCACTTAAAATAAACCCCGCTGCGACAATTGTTAAATTTATCTGGCTCAGTGTGGTCAAATGGTGGTCAGATCAAAAGAAAATCGGAACGGTCATAAAAACGTAATTACTTTTCCAGACTTGTAAAAAACATGTCTACCCCGCATACCTACGTACCAACGCACCAAGTCGCCCTGTCGCCCATTAAAAAACACGAACCTACCGAGACTTCGTTTCGTCTCAAAACCTGACTTAACGGTGGTTGAAAGAAAATTCCGACCCTTAAATATATTTTTTTTTTGTTTTCGCTGACCCTCGCTATAAGCGAATAGTTACAACTATTAATCTTTCATACATAGCCAGGGACGGTTCGCAGGACATGTGGAAACAAAATTTTTTAATTTGCTCAAAGAATGACCGGGCGTACGATATGTGAACATAGTTCATGTACAGCTGTAGTCTAATGAAAAAAGCCGAGAGCCGTGAGTAATTACAGCACCAGCTGTCGCCACACTTAACGCGTAGAGGGACTTAATGGCTTCGATTAATTACCTGTTGTGATCGCTTCAGTGAGCCCGCTATTAAGCAACCATGGGGAGCGCCGGGGAGGATCACGGGCGGATCGATAAGTACAAGCTGTCGCTAATAAGTAACAGCTGTGGTTAAATGGATGTTATACACAATGACACTTTCTAGTACACGCTAGTGTTAGTCTTTTATTTCAAACGGCGTACAACAAAGAAATTAAAAGCAAACTAATTAAAATGAATTTCAAACAAATAAATTATACAAAGTAATTAAATTAAACAACAAGTAAACAACAATTAAAAATAAAATTTAAAAATAATAATTTTAAAAAATTTAAAAATTTAAAAAATTAAAATCAAATTTTAAAATTTAAAAAATTAAATTCAAATTTTAAAAGCCTTTGATGAATTGGAAAAACGTTAATAAACAAATAAAATATAAGAAGATTTTTGTTCTAATTTAGTGTATGTGTGTGTGAATGTGTATATACGTGTAGCATACGCGTACTAGAAAACCAACAAGGTAATGTCCGGTTGCTCAACCTAATTACACCACCAGCTGTCGCACAACAGCTGTTGCATAATGACCTATGTACTTCGCGGAGCTAACAAAGCGATCGGTAAAATCGATTAACGTGGTAACAGATGTTCCCACACTTAACGCTGGCTTCGCGTTAATTACCATACCTCCCGGTGGGATCGGTTCGCGAACCCACATAAATCAATGACGGGTGTCAAAAAATTTAATTAGGTGGGCTATCAAGTTGATGATGGTCCAGTGGGTGTGACCAAAATTAACTCGGACAGTGTACGGTCCCTCACAAAAAGAAAAACTTTGCTGGTGAATCGATACGTGCCGGGTGCCATTAGCGAGTAACAGGTGTTGTTGCATGGCTGGTTAATGGCTGTTATACAAAGACTGTTCTAGTACATGCTAGCACACCCCTACCCTCAAACCCCATCATTACTCCCCCTCTCATCCACCAACACCCCTATCCGTTTACTATTAAACATACATACAAGTAAATAAACAAACCAACAAATAAACAAATAAACAACATTCAAAGTAATTAAAATCAATTTTAAAAAGTTAAAAATTAAAAAAAAAAAATAAAATCAAATTACGTAACTCGTTAATAAAAATTACACAATATAAACAAAGTAATCAAATTAAATAACAAGTAAACAAACAAAATAAACAAACAAAATACAAAGTAATTAAAATCAATTAAAATTTAAAATTTAAATTTAAAAATTTAAAAAATTAAAATCCAATTACGTAACTAGTCAATAAAAAATTACACAATATAAACAAAGTAATTAAATTGAATTCAAACTAATTATAAAATAAAATTAAAAATAAACAAAATAAAAATAATTAAAATCAAATTACGTAACTAGTTAATAAAATTTAATTAAAAATTAAAAATTAAATTGAAACTCATTAAAAAACGCATTAAATTACGTAACTAGGTCAAAAATTAATTAAAAATTTAAAAAACTCATTAAAACTAATTAAAAAACACATTAAAATTACGTAACTAGGTCAATGATTACGTCATAATGTTACTAATTACGTCACAAGGTCACCAAAAGGTGACCTACTGACCTACTTCCCCACCACCTCCGCCAACCCCAGTTGGCGTCGTATTTTACTATATATCTTTGCGCCACCCGCGCATCCTGCTCCACCACCCTCCACATCCCGATGCGCCAGGCTGGGAGTATTTTACTATATCTCTTTGCGCCACGCTGCGGCAGCTCCTCCGAGTATTTTGCTATATGTCATTGTTCCTCCACATCCCCACCTCCGCCAAAAATAATAATCAAAAGCGACCTAATATACTACTGAGCACAAAACACATCATAACTACAGTAGTCTAGATCTACATTATATCAACAAAACACGAATCTTTACATCTTGATGTTCGTCTCTCTACTAACTGAACGGCGTCGATTTCATAATTAAACGAGTGTGTTCATGACATTACGCAAGTTAACATTAACATCCATAACACCAAACAAAACTTTTCGAAACTGTCTGATTGTATGTATGAAGGAAATAAATATAACATCATCATTGTCTGGGTATTGCACGCTTTCAAACCCTTTAACCGAATTCTTAACAAGTTGTTTATAAGTTTATGAGTTTAACTGGAAACTATTTCATCGTCAACAAAAACGAAACTAAAAATGTAATGTTAGTTAGGCCTACACTAACAACTGAGGGGGTCAAATTAGGTTTAGTGGGTTGGGTTAACTTTCCCATTTCGGATAAGTTATCACAACAAAACACGCTCTGACAAATGATGCAATACTCACTGTGTTATCTGCCAGCTGATTGGTCAGATCCACCTTGTCTCATCTTCCGCCGTCATCATAAGTGGAGCAGATGGGACACGAACAGCTGATTCGTTGTTTTGATTTGCACCAACTTGTTCCAACTAGCCCGCCTCGCGTCAATCTATTTCCGTGCCGGCTACTTCAAGAGTTTGATCCCCAACATCGATAAATTTCCTGTTGTTGTTTTGTTTTTTTAAATTCCGGTCACGTTAAGTTTTGGTACAAGAAAATAAAGTCAGTTGTGTGGCTATTTACAAGTAAACCTCAACTCTCCTGTGTCCAGCCAAGCGCCCTACACACACAAGAACTGGGCTCTAGACTAACCAGCACTCGCTCATTGGTAGCGCTATATACAAGTTCCAGAACCGGTGCCTAAAATAAGTCTGACTTGAACCCGCGCGAGTTGGGCAAGCGGTAACTGGGTAAACTCGAGTAAATACTGGCCCACCATTGGTCCGCCGCGGACCTGTTTGCACGCGATCCAATGGCAGCAGTAACAACATTGGCCTCAAGTGGGAGTTATTCAAAACTACAAACGTGTTATGTCACAGCCGGGGCGAAACAATTATTTGAAAGTTAATGATTTTTTTTTCTATAAAAAAAAAAAAAAAAAAAAAAAAAGACGTTGGTTGAAAATGTTTTAACCGCTGAAAAATGCGTTGTTACTGATTCGATTTTATTCGTACTTATATAACAAGTATAGAAAATAACAATACTTAATCTCCAAACAAATCATAAGTCTAAACCTAATATATACTAACATGTAGTTAGTTGTAGTTGAATGCTAAACTGGATTATGTCAATTAGTAATCTTTTATATACGAATATGTGGGTACGGCTAATCTATAAAAACTACAAGTTGTTTTTTTTTTTAAAAATACATAGTTTGTATTCCATTATGAAATTATTGGAATGAGGTTATAAATTTACAGTAAAATAGTTTTAAGGTTAAAAAATAAGAATTTAAAAAAAAACATCGAACCGTGCAGCGATCAAGGGGTTAATTGTTTTGTTATGTTTGTTCTGTTAGGCTTGTGTGTGTGTGTGTGTGTATGTGTGTGTGTTGGGGAGGGGAGGGTCGTCACAATAATTATGATTTTATTATTTTTGTGTTCCGTTTACTAACTAATTGGAATTTAATTGCTATATTAAAAATTTGATTTAAAAAAAAACAACACTTTTATGAAAAGGGGCGTTTATAATTTCGAGTAATTCAAAGAGGCAATTTTAAAATCGTTATAACGTGTCGAGCGTTGACTTGCTCTTTGATTGTGAATATGCCGATAGTGATATACTCGATACGTCAAATTGTTGATGAGGGGTGGGGGTGTAAATAAAATAGTGGGTAGGTGTGATTGGAGATCGGTGTGTGATTTAATAACAAGGGTTGTTGATTTAGTGAGATGAGGATGTTTTAATTTTTGGAGAGTGTAAGGGGGGGGGGTGTTGGTTAGGTGGCTGGGGTGTTGATTTTAATGGGGGGTGTTAATTTTGTGGGAGGGGTGTTGATTAGGTGTCTGGGGGTGTTGGTTTTGATATGGTTTTAGGGGGGGGGGGCGTTTGGGAGGTAAAGGGGTGTTGTCGGGACGGGTGTAAAACAGGAGTTGAAGTTTACCCGTTACCGTAGCAGGTTCGACTGTTTTGACACGGGCATTGTCTGCTAGACGGGCACAGTCGCGGCGCTGTCAGACGGTCGTCACGTGATATTATTCCGCTTCAGCGGGCTGGGTGGGTGGGGGTGGGGTGAGAGAAAAACTAATGAGCGTTTGATTTTGATCGCTCGACTTTAGAAATAGGTGTGTTGATAACAGTTTTAGTGTTGATAACAGTTTTAGTGTTGATAACAGTTTTAGTGTTGATAATAGTTTTAGTGTTGATAACAGTTTAGTGTTGATAATAGTTTTAGTGTTGATAACAGTTTAGTGTTGATAATAGTTTAGTGTTGATAATAGTTTAGTGTTGATAACAGTTTAGTGTTGATAACAGTTTTAGTGTTGATAACAGTTTTAATATTGATAGAAGTTTTTATGTCGATAACAGTTTTAGTGTTGATAACAGCTCCGGTGTTGAAACGTCTCACATGTTGATTTCAATTCCCGCGTTACAAGAGCCCTCGTGTTGTTAGCAGTTTTACTGTTGATATCACTCCGTGTTGTTAGCAGTTTTACTGTTGATATTTCTCTGTGTTGATAGCAGTTTTACTGTTGATATTTATCTGTGTTGATAGCAGTTTTGATGTTGGTAGCAATGCCCGTATTGAAAATAGCTTTGGAATTGATAACTTGTGCTAAAACTGTAGTTGAATTTTTCAGACCCATTTTTCAGCTCATAAATACACACACACAAACACACACACACACACACACATACACACACACACACACATATATATATATATATATATATATATATATATATATATATATATATATATATATATATATATATATATATATATCATAACACATGCACAAAAAGTCAAACATACACATAAACACACAAAACAAACGATTTAGTCACGATTTAACCACATTTTACAACAAGTATTATAGTAAGGGTGAGGAAACAATTATTTATTTTGCGTCAAACAAGTGGGGTCCAAATCTACTTACAATAGAATCTGGCCGAATATTCTTCTCATCATCATGATGCCATATGTTACCCAGAAACCAGTCTTTACAATTACATAGAAGTTTCAATTTCTTTTTACATTTCTTCAATTTTTCTTTAAAAAAAAACAGTGCACACGTTTGTCTCCATATCTCCTCCTCACGTAGTTCTACTGTACAATTTTGTTTCGCTTTGTCGCAACTGCTGGTGTTGTTTTTTCATTAACCCACAACAAACTATGTCAACACATTGAATTCAATGTAGTCATGTTCCGTACAATTAAAAAACAACATTTTCATTGTTCTACTGTACAATTTTGTTTCGCTTTGTCGCAACTGCTGGTGTTGTTTTTTCATTAACCCACAACAAACTATGTCAACACATTGAATTCAATGTAGTCATGTTCCGTACAATTAAAAAACAACATTTTCATTGAATTTTTTTTTCCTTTAAAATATGGACACAAATTTCTATCGACCTGAGTGGGGGCCTGCTAGTATGGCTCACGATATGTTTCCCTGGTGTAGAGGGTTAGATGCCACATGGGGAGGGGGTGGAGGGGAGCGTACAATGTTCTAGCTCTAACATAGAGATAGTACCGCAGCTAATGAAGAGGTGTTGGCCTACATTAAAGTAATATTTGAAGAAATTTTTTTTATAAAACTAACTCAATTGTTTGTATTGAAATGTATACCTTGTTCTATTCATATATATATATATATATATATATATATATATATATATATATATATATATATATATATATATATATATATATATATATATATATATATATATATATATATATATATATATATATATGTGTGTGTATGTGTGTGTGTGTACGTATGCAGGCGTCATACTTTGCTCGATGGCGGCCGCAAAAGGACTTTGCATATATCATAAAATGTGTGTGGGTGATTGAATGGAATGAGTGTGTTTGTGTGGGTATGTGTGTGAGAGAGAGTAGTTACCGCCGCAGTCAGCCACAGAATCCCCACCCAGTCCCTGGCCTACACGTAGTACATACGTCACCGGTTGTGGAACAATGACCACCCCTTCCACGCTTGACTGATCAAGTAATAAAAAAAACACCGGATACATTGATTTTTTTTTTTTTGGTTATTTAGTTGAAACATGTAAGACAAATGGTGGGATATTGTAGTCGTGGGTGGGTGTTTTTTTTCTTCTGTTTAGCCAATACACGTTATAACACACACTCGTGCGCTAACGTGTGATGCAAAGTTGCGTGTTCACACACACACACACACACACACACACACACACACACACACACACACACACACACACACACACACACACACACACAAACCCATGCACTTGACAAGCACAAAAAATATTTAAAAAAACACAACATTTCTAACTTGATATATACATTTTTACACATACACACTTCTTCAGACCATGCTAAATATCCGGGGGTGGGGGGGGGGGGGGTTGGATCTTAGTGTTGAGCTCCACTCCCACTTCGGTCCGGATACGTTTATGTTTAGCTCCAGCTCCATCTAGCTCAGCAAAAAATACATTTTCTTCATACCATAAGAAGTGACGTATTAAATAGTAACGTATTAAATTATGACCTGTAAAATCGTGACGTGGGAAAACATGAAATATTAAACTGACAGATCGGCTTTAATAAACTATCCAACTATAGAAGGACCCCAGTCATCATGGCCCTACAAGATTGCCTTCGTTCACCTTCAGAGCTTCATCAAAACTATTACGATTAGAAGTCTTGACTCGGAAATAAAAGAAGTTTTATGTACTATATTTAGAACAAGATGGATTAAGATAAAATCACGCAAGTCTACTTTCTTTTTTGTATTATCGGCGCTGGGGACAGTCGTGTGTTCCAGTTCTTGCAAAATCTATCTGCTTTACGTCTGCTAGCTCCACTCCATACGTCTGCCTCGGAGTCAGATTGGCATCTTCGTCTGGAGAATTTGTCTTACAGACTTACCCACAATCGTCTTGTTTGAGACAAAGCATCCACTACTTGTGTCAATAATTATAATCTGGTGAATAGTTTAGTCAAATAAATGGTTGGGATATTTGTTGATATTTAGCTTTTCCTTTGTATTATTTGGTTAATTAACTTATGAAACTAATTATCGTCCGTGTGCAGGCGTCCCTAACACCTTTTCCTAGAACAGTTTCAATAATTTATCGAGTACTTTTCTCTGCGTGAAATTTGTCGTGGACTGGTGTTGGCTAACTTTCATCCAGTCACAGTGAATCGGGGCAACCTTGAGATATAATTACCTAGAGTCACTGGTTTACACTTTGACTTATAGTTCATTAAGACCCCCAGTAGACTTTCTTTAGTGGACTGTCTGAGACCTAAGTAGATTATACTTTTGTAGACTGTCTGAGACCTAAGTAGATCATACTTTAGTGGACTGTCTGAGACTTAAGTAGATCATACTTTAGTGGACTGTCTGAAACCTAAGTAGATTATACTTTAGTGGACTGTCTGAGACTTAAGTAGATCATACTTTAGTGGACTGTCTGAAACCTAAGTAGATTATACTTTAGTGGACTGTCTGAGACCTAAGTAGATTATACTTTTGTAGACTGTCTGAGACCTAAGTAGATCATACTTTAGTGGACTGTCTGAGACCTAAGTAGATCATACTTTAGTAGACTGTCTGAGACCTAAGTAGATTATACTTTTGTGGACTGTCTGAGACCTAAGTAGATTATACTTTAGTGGACTGTCTGAGACCTAAGTAGATCATACTTTAGTGGACTGTCTGAGACCTAAGT